CTTTGGATGTGCGGCTTTCACTGTCTCCTGCCCTCCCTGCTTCCTAGGGCAGCAGCCTGTCTTCCCAAAATGACTTCTCCTCACCCTACCCTACTCACACAATGTAGATATTTATCTCACAGATCCACTACTCTTGAGCATTCACATGTCTGTCTTCCCTTTTAGACAATGAATTCCTTGTTACCAGGAGGCAGGCGGTGCAGGGGCTTCCTCCGCCTAGGACAGCACGAGGAAGCAGAGAGTATTGGTCAGCGTGGGCTGTGTGCATGCATGGAGGAATAATGTGAGAAGAATACGTGGTGTGGCCTAAGCAATAGCTTTATCCTGGAACCCCCAAAGAAAGTATAGGAAGTACCAGCAGGAAGAGCAGAGGTAAGAAATAGCTCCAAAATTCTATTTGAGCTTCTGGAATCTTGTAGCCAGAATCTATATTCCAGATTCTGGAATCTTGTGGAATGTTGAGCTCCTCAGCACAGTGGAAGGGGGATGGGTGTTGCTTAGGGGGATGAATGATCTGTGGCGAAGCATGTCCGGGAAGTGCAGGCTGAAGCAAGATGAATTATCCCCTTTGGCTATAGGAGTTGAACATGTTGACAGGCATTGGAAACTTGGCAGGAAGTAGAGGATGTAACATTTCCCACAGCCGATTCATCCTGGAACCCTGGTAGGACCGCTGGTCCATGGTACACTCTGGGAAATGTTGCTTGACCTCCTTGGCTTCTCACTGCTGCTCTGCTTACAAACCCTTCCAGGGCATGCTCTTGTCCATAGCCCCTAGTGACAGGCAGTCCACCAGAAACCCCTGGTCCCCAGCTTTTGGCAAAGGGTGGGTCAATGACTAAAAGTTGCCAATCATATCCTCTTTTCCATGGCAGGTAATTGAGCGGGTGGTTATGTGGAATTGAGGTTGCAGGCAGCCATATTGGTCCCTGCATACCTGCGTGATGGTGGCAATTCTGTGACATATTCAAAGGGCCCTTTGGAAAGAAGGAATACAGGTTAGTCAAGTAAATGAACTGGCTAGGGTAAAGTCGAGAGATCAGTAGTCTCCTGGCTCTTGGCAAATGGCTCTTTCCACTGTACGACCAGAATCCCTGTCACGGACAAAGCATGTAACCCAGGAAAAGGGACCCATAATTCACTGCATATGTCCCAGGTTTCTTTGCAGCCATAATTAACTGACCCCTAAAGAACATTAGCAGCTGGTTTTATTGAACTCATATAGAGGAAGCGATCTAAGCAAGGCTACATACTGGGCAGCATGAGGGATTGAGGAGCAAGCTTCATGGGCTGTCTGGATGGCTCACATGTTGGAACTTATCGTGGTGCACTTGAAGAAGTCTGCTGCGGTCTATTCAGAGCATTTCTGTGTCTGCAAATGCACAAGAGAAAGTATAGCCCTCTGAAATGCATCTTACCCCTGGGGATCCCACCGTGCCTTGGGATTTGCTACTGCACAGGCTGCTTCCACAGCAGCCTTCTGGGAAAAAGAGATCAATGGCAAAATTGGTAGATCCAACAAGGCTTTTGCAGTAAAAGCTTTTTATGCCTCTTGTTCAAATCATTTAAGTGCCTTTTAGATCACAGATTGAATCATCAACATTATAAAGTGGAACCTTTTAATACCAAAATACACTTCCAGAGTAAAATTCCATTATGGGAAAAAGCATTTCACGGCATCAGCCTAGATAATAATTCTCTCACATGTAATAGGCTGTATGAAATGTTTGATGGTAAACAGAGTTTCTCAGTATTGTAATAAGGTGACTCACACCCTTCTGTGTGCGTGTGCACTTGTGTGTGCTTGTGTGTGTGCACGTTGGGTACACACAGCGGGTCACCTCTCATCTATGGACATTGGTTTCTTTATCTGTAAAGAGTAGGAATCAGACTCTGAGTGCTTCTTGCTGTCAGATTATGAAAAAGCTATGTTTCCACTCTGGGTTTCCATTTCCTCATCCTTGAAACAAGAGCTTTTGTATTACTCAGGAAACTCAGTTGAAGTGATAATTTAAAGCAGCTTATGTGAAAGAAGAAAGATTACAGTGACTCATGGCTCATGTACTTAAAAATCTCAGGAGCTTGAGCACTGCGAGTTTAAGCAAGGCTACATCCACATCCCCCAGCAATGTCAGCGTTTCCAGGACTTGGTTTCCCTCTGGCCTGGAAATTAGTCACTCAGGTTCCCTCCATTCTGCCCTCCCTCCCGTAACAGAGGGAAGTTCTTTGTAACCCCAGCAGGAGGAGGACATCCGTCTCCCAGTATTTCCAACAAAAATCTCCTGGATTGAATCTCATTGGCTCAGGTAAGATCACATGTCTATCTCTGAGCCAATCACCATCTTCAGGGTGTGAACTGCACTGGTTGGCTAGCCGTAGGTCATGTGCTCACTCCAGAGCGGAAATGGTCAATGCCTTTTAATTGTAAGGCCAAGGTACTAAATGGTGAATTCACCCTGGAAGAATGGGATGCTGCTGGGGATGGTGGTGGAGATGCTAGGTGATGGAATCAGCACGCCGGCATTTGGGGTGGGGGCTACCACCCGTCTTGGCCCTGAGGCTTGTGTTAGCTCTAGAAGCTTATGAATGGTAAATGCTTAGTGCTGGAGGAGCTTTGGGGATTATTAAATCAACCTCTTTGCTTAAAGTTGAGAAAACTGAGGCTCATAGTGGGAAATTGGCTTGCCTGCAGGAAAGGGAGGCTTGAGTCCCACCCCGGTGGGTTTGTCAGTCCATAGGAAGACAAAGGCAGAAACTGGAGTGAAGCTGGCCCCTGCCCTGAATGCTAGGAGCCACCAGAAGCCGGAAGAGGCAGAGACGTCTCTTCCTCGAGAGCCCTGGGTGGTACCACATCTCTGCGGCCACCTCGATTCCTCTAGAGCCGTGAGAGGATTTCTGTTGGAGGTCACCTAGCTTGTGGCAATTTGTTGCTGCAGCCCCAGGAAAATAATCCATCTGCCAGCCAAAATTTATGATAAAACAGAAATTTTAGAAGTTCTGTAGTCCTGGCTCAGACTGCCATTCAAGCTACAAAAGAATTCTTATCTCTCTTTCTCTCTCCTTCTTTCCCCTCCCTCCACTCTTTCTCAGCATGTGCTCTATCTTGATGTTCGGTCTGATTACCCAGGGAAATTTTCCCTACTGAGCTGATTAATCAAAATACTGAGTCATTCATATCACACTTAGAAATTCCTGATTGTGCTTAAAAGTAGTTGGTAACAGATATGTACAAATAAACCCAGCTAAAAACCAGAGTGATTATTGGTGATTTAATTCACTCCAGGATCACAAGGGGGGTGGAATCATATGGCAGGAATGCGTTTTTAATGATAGGTTTTTACTAACAGGAAGGATGATAATACATTTATACACGCTAAGGCTTTGGGAAGTGAGCCATGGCGAACTATTCATTTGTTCGTTCAGCAAATATCTTGTGGGTGTGGACTGGTAAGCTGCTTCCCTGTGGACCTTCAGCCTAGTGCAGAGGATAAATGGCTGACTATGAAATTGCATTTGGGTGTTGAACTTGGTGATGAGTGCTGTCAAGGATGGTAGAGTGCTAGGATAGAAGCTGTTGAGTGTGGTGGTGGAGGGCATGGGCTATGAGGTCAGACTGGTTGGGCTTGAATTCCAGTCCTACACTTGTGCCTAAGGTTTTTATAGACAGCTAAGTTAGGTGGAAATAGTATAGGCAGTCAGACAGGGCTCGGCCCTCCAGGGAGTCAGTGCAGAAGAAGAGAACACTTCACAAACTGGCTGGAGGTGCTTCTGAAGAAGAATAACGTCTCAGTGGCCAGATTGACATACTTCCCTAAGGAAGCTTGAGATTCCTGGTAACACCCTTTTGAGATTTCCCATATAAATAAAATATCATCTCATTAGGGGCGGGCCATCCTCTTCCACCCACTAAGACTAAGATACTAAGACTAAGACTAAAGACAACATTAAGACTATAGATTATTCTTTTTTTTTTTTTTTGGTACCAGGAATTGAACTCAGAACCTTGCCAGGCAGAAGTGGGGCCACTGAGCTTCATCCCTGGCCCTTAGACTATAGATTATTGACCAGGGTTACTGATGTTATCCATATGCCCTTGCTACTATTGGATCAATATTAGCTACGTGGCTGTACTTATAGTCTTATTAGTTGATTATAATTTGACCCACATTGTACACACCCCACATGATTTTGCTCTATAAAACTTTTTCAGAGAAGTGGGCTCCTTGGCAACCCATCGGGGCCCTTCCTGTCTCTCAGGATGTATTCCTATTCCCCATACCTATCCCCAAATAAATTTTCCTACTCTTAACCTCTCTTGTTCCTTAGAATTCATTTGTTGACTTCAAGGAACACAAACTTGGCGTGTCTGACATCTAATGGGTTGGGAGTTTTATATTCTTAACTCCACTGGGTGTGTTTCTTGGAACTTGGACATAGCCTTTCCTTTAGGACATGGTTTCTTTTTTAGTTTTAAGGTTCAGCCTGGTGGTGGGCAGGCCTGACATCTGGGCTGGGTTCTTTCTCTCTTCCCACTGCTGATTCTTCCTGGGTCCTTGAAATCTTGCACATGCAGGTCATTAATCAGCCAAGGTCAGGGGTGTTTAAGGGGGGGATTTAAGGTTGCCCCTCGTGGCTTCCTCTGCTCTGGGTTGTCCTCTTCCCTCAGTTTCTGTTATAGTTTATGTCTAGATGTCTCTTCAAAGCCTCATGTGGTCATAGATGAGGCTTTTCAGAAGTGGCTGGACCTAAGTGTGTGATGCTGGGATTAAGGGTATGTGATTACTAAATTAGCCCACTGATTGGTTGGCATACTTCGGAGTATGGATAATGGGACAGCCCACCCTGGGTGTGAGTGCTACCCACCCTAAAGGCCTGTGGCCTGAATAAAATATAAGGGATAGAAAGGGGGCTGCTACTTTCACTTGTTGTTTGCTGCCTTTCTGTCTTCTGCCTGCCATGAACTGTTTCTCCTCTGCAGTGTCCCTCTGCCACATCGCCCTGCCATGGAGCCAGAGGACTATGAAAACTACAAACTGTGAGCCAAAACAAACCTTTCCTCCTTTAACTTTGGGTGTCATGTATCTTGTCTCAGCAACCAGAAAAGTAACTAAGACAGTTTCCAACCCTAACAGTTCAGAACTCCATCCTGACTCCTCAGGGTAACAAAGTTTTGGGTTTCCTCCTTAGTTCTAGCCACCCCGTGGCAGGGTCCTCAGTGCAGAAGCCAAGTGAATATGGATCTCCCCCACGTGATTCCTTCTCTCAGGACAAATCCGCTTCGTTTCTGCCTGCTGTGGCTCCTGCCCAGTGCAAGGGTAATGTGACATAAGCTGCTCCACTTTCACCATGGGGACTCTGACCAACTGACTTCCCTCCTTGCCTTCCTTTCCTTCTCCTTCCTTTGTTCCTCCCTTCCTCTCTCCTCCCCTCCCTCCTTCCCTCTCCTGTCCCTTCCTCCTTCCTTCCTTTTTACCTTCTTTCCTTCCTCTCTTCCTTCCAAATGAACATTTTAATTTCACCACCACTTATTCCTTCTAGAATGCTCTTCCTGTCCTTATACAGGTTTGAGTTTCTGACCTGCATCAGCTTCTCTCTGAAGAACCTTTCCTGTGTCTTGCAAGGCAGGGCTACTGGCAGCAGATTTCTTCCTTTTTTGGCTCAGAAAATCTTCATTGCTCCTCCTCTTTTGAAGGTAATTTCCAGGATGCAACATTCGGGATTGCTGCAGGTTTTCCCTCACTATTTTAACTATTTCACCCTGTTCTCTTTCTTGGGAGATTAGGAGCAGCAGTTGGATGTAACCATCACATTGCTTCTCTACAGGTAAAGGGTGTTTCCTCTGGCTTCTTTCAGGAGTTTTGTTTACCTTTGATCTTCTGCAGCTTGGCTGTGATGCGCCTGGTTGCTGCTGGGGCCGTGGTGTTTGCCTTTATCCCCATCAGTCTTTCCGGGCCTCCCGAGTCCAAGCCGGTGTCTTCTTCCTCTTCATTCCCTCCTTAGCTCTGCTCATCCACCCTTGAAGTCCACCCCATCCCATTTCCAGCACCCCAGCCAGATGCTGCTGAGGCCCATGTTTCTGTCTCCACCCTCTGGAATCTGAGCAGATTGGAATATGAAGGTCTAAGCATGAAGAGTGTCGAAGACTTAGAAGTTAGAGCCAAGAAGAGGGTTCATAAAAGGCCCTGCACAGAGCTTCTGGAGAGGGAAAACATGGGAAGAGAAGGAGGAGTTTTAGGAGGAGCACGGTGACTGTGCCGAGCCTGCCAGGGGGCTCTGAAAGGGGAGACTGAGGCAGGGGGTTAGACTCAGTGACACCAGTCACTGGGGACCCTCCCAAGAGTGCTGCGGGTTTGAAGGAGGCAAATGCCTTTGTGGAGAGAATCGATGTGTGGTAAAGACATAGATCTGGCTTCCCCACATCTCGGTGCCCCAAGGTCAACTGCCATCTGGAGAGACTAAATGGACATTTTCAGAAATAGACGGTTGGTAAGTTCTCACTTGTGTGCTCCTCTGCGTTTTGTGATGAAATCCCTAGGTGTGCCCTGTCCCGCACACGACTGGCATCATCCATTACTGGAGCTTCCACTCCCCATGTGGCACCTGCCTGACATTACGGCTCAGGGGTCCAGGGTCACCGAAGTGGATGATCCTAATGATCCATCGTCACCTGACGCTGTGTCGCAGTGCCCGCATCACCAGCTCATTCGTTCCTTTTGTCACGTGTCAACTCCTGTCATCATGGGAGGAAGAGTGTGCACAGTACAATAGTATGTTGGGAGGGAGATGGAGAGGGAGAGAGGAAGAGAGACAGAGAGACAGAGAGAGTGGGATTGCTGATGCTGGGTTCTTTCTGTTAGTTTTATCCATCCAACAAGTCACCTCCCTTACCTGGGACTACTTGGGAGGAGTAATGGGAAAGGGACTGGAATTCCTTTCTAACGGCTTCCCTTGACATGTGGAGTGGAATTTTCCTCATGGCTACTGAAAGGTGAGAAAAGCAGCCCCCTGTGAAGTGACCGTCTCCCACTGTAACTGTCAATTTAGGTTCCTCTGTCTTTCAGAGTGTGGTTTCCTACGGGCAGTAATCTCTCTTTTTTTCTTTTTGTATTAAGAGATTGAACCCAGGGCCTTTGCACTGAGCTACATCCCCAGCCATTTCTTATTTTTTATTTTTGAGACAGGGTCTTGCTAAGTTGCTAAGCTGTCCGGGTTAGCCTTGAATTAGCTCAGCCTCCCACAGTGCTGGGATTACAGGTGTGTGTCATCTCACCTAGTTCAGACGGCAATCCTGACTTGCATGTCAGTCATTTTTCTCACTGCTGTGTCAAAGTATCTGACATCCACAATTTAAGGAAGGAGAGGGCTTATTTTGGCTCAAAGTTTATAAAGGTTTCAGTTCGTAGTCAGCTGGCTCCAAGGCAGGGTGACATGGTGGAGGAGAGCAGCTCACTGCATGGTGGCCAGGAAGCAGAGAGACCGAGGGAGGAGCCAGGGAGGAGATGCACCCTTCCAGGCCCCACTTCCTAACAGAAAGTCAGCTGTGAGCCCTGTAATCCAATCACCTTCTGAGCCCCGCCCATGAGTGCAGCAGCCTCCCGGGGGAACATCTAGGGTTACCTTAACATCTCATTCATCCCTGCCCTGAAAGCCTGGCACAGTGCCTGGGGTGTAGTAGGTGCTCAGTAGAGATTTACTTAATCCTGAGTGAGTACACTTCAGATCCAACCAGTCGAGGCTCAAAAGGCTCCGCAATATGTCCTGAAACCTCTTAGAATCTGCTTGACAGATTTCTCAGCACACCTCAGGCTTATGTCTATGTTAAGTGAGCACCAATGACAGTCATGGGAAAGAATGATCAAGTTCACAAATTATCCTTTGGTTTATGTTTGAATTCCCAAAGATAAATGTTACCTCAGTTAAATCATGCTTTATGCCTCTACTGCAGGTGTTAGGAAAATATCGGCTGAGCTCAGCTCCTGGGTATGAGGTACAGGACCCAGGGAATTTGCACATACTAGTGAACTGCGACCTGGGGTTCTTTCATTAATGGTCAGTAATGGTCTGCAATCAAGCCACACCTGCGAGAGGAAAATAACAATTGGCCTGTTTGCTTGGAGTGAGGATGATTTATCAACTTGCTCATTATTCGTTCTCTCTCAAGGTATTAACCAAAGTTGTTTGTGCAGAAATAAAGAGAGAGAAAAATGCCCCCTTATCCAGTTTCAGGAGGCTGTGCGGAGTGCATGGTGCAGTCACTGCCGTCACAGGTGTAAACCCCACTCTGTCACTAGCAGGCTGGGTTAGTCCATTTTCTGTTATTACAACAAAATACTTGAGGCTTGGTAACTTGTAAAGAGATGAAGTTTCTTTTTTCTCGCTTTGTTTCTTTTCTCTTTGTTTGGTTTTTTCTGAGGCAGGGGCTCCCTTTGTAGTTCAGGCTGGCCCTGAACTCACTATGTAGCCCAAGCTGGCCTCGAACTTTCGATGGTCCTCCTGCCTCTGCCTCCTGAGTGCTGGGGTTCCAGGCATGTGACACCACGCCCGGCCGGGATGAAGTTTCTTTAACTCACGGTTTTGGAGACTGGAAGCCAAAAGAGAATGGTGTTGGCAAAGGTTCCCTTGTCGTGAGCTCGTGGCACAGAGCATCGTAAAGTGGAGGGCACAGGGAGGAAGAGGGGTCAATTACATGACAGGAAGCCTGGGGAGGGAAGGGCCAGAGTTTCCCCTCCACACAATGCTCCACACAGTGCTCCTGAACCCAGGGTCCCTTGAGCTCCCTTCCAAGGGCACGTCCCCACTGACCTCAGGACCCGCCACTTCTTAACATTGCCCCACTAGGGAGCGAACTTCTTGTGCATAAACCTTAGGGGGACAAACCACACCCAGGCCATAGCACTAGCCAGAGCCATGGTTAAAGATTCTGTTTCTCAACTGTTAGGGAGTGGTAATCATGCCGGCCTGTCTGGGTCGATAACAAGGGTTAAGCTGGGCATGATGGTGCATACCTGTAATCCCAGCTCTCCGGGAGGCTCAGGCAGGAGGATTGCAAGTTTGAGCCCAGCTGCAAGTTTGAGCAGCATAGTGAGTCTCTATCTCAAAATTAAAACAAAAAAGAAAGGTTGGAGATGTGGGTGAGGGAGAAGGCCTTGGGTTCAATCCTTGGTACAGAAAAAAGAGAAAAAAAGGTTCTAAGTCAATGTCCTCCAGAAGCCTCTCAGAAGAGCAACGCAGTTTTATTCCCGTCTCTTTTGGCTGTTCTCCTAGGAATTCTGTCCATTCTACTGAGCTAAACCCCGGGCCCTTATTTACTATTTTAAAGCACAGTTGCACCCACATCTCTCCCTCAGTTCACACTCTGGGCCTCACAGGAGTTTCTCCCATCCCATGTGACAGGACAAGGAAGGAGTCTCGGCCGGGTTCACGGCCAGGTTGCTGCTGCGTGACATGGGTGTGAGGCAGAGATGGAGCCGAGGGCCAGGGCCCTGCTGAGGAGGGCGGGGGAGCAGCCTCGGTGTGGAACAGGCTCTGAGTTCCGGTCTCCATGTCTATGTGTTTCCTGGGGCTGCCAGCAAAGTACCACAGACTGGGTACTGTTTTCCTCCTCATGGTGATGGTAGCCTCAATTCCAAGATCCGGGTGGATTGGGCTCCTTCTGAGGCCTCTCCTGGGCTTGCAGATGGGCGACTTCTCTCTGTGTCTTCACGTCTTCCCTGTGTGTGTCTGTGTCCTAATGTCCTTTGTTTTACAAGGACGACAGTCACAAGGGATTTGCACCCACCTATGCCAACTCATGTCGCCTCAATTGGTTCTTTAAAGACTCTGTCTCTAGGAAGACTCTGTCTCTGTCACATTCTCTGGCAGGAGCCAAGAGGAGCCCTCCGGCTCTGAGACCTGTCGGGTGTGTCCCACATGGGGTTCTGTCCGCACCACTGTTGGGGCTTGCTCAGTTTGGGAAGGGACAGATACTTCTCAGGGCCAACTCAATACAGTCACCCTTTCTTCCTCCTGCTCCCCTCTTGCACCTCCAAGGAAACATCCTGCTCAGGACTGGACCATGTTCTTCTGAAACTCCCACTGTACTCTGACTTTTCGTCCAAGGCCTTGACCTTCAGCGTTCTAATGCATGGATTGTTGAAACTTGTGCCATGAGTTCCAAAACTGTATTTTAAAGTTCCAAAGCTGAGGGTTGCCGTCTCTGTCCCCTTTCTTGTGGCATTCCTCCACGGGGGCACAGAGCCCAAACTAGAGGGAAGCCACAGGGCCTGAGAAACTGGTGGGGTTTTGGGAGGGAGACGACATAGTGATTTGAAAGAACAAAGTAGAGCCCTGTACCTGTGTCCCCAAAGAACCCTGGCTCTTTAGGATTCTCTTGCCTGGGAGTCACCAGGATAGTTACTCTGTGACACTCATATGACATGGACCTTGGAGGTCAGGTGACAGATTTCTGAAGGTCAGGTAGCCTATGTCCTTCCTGGTTGTGCAGTCTCACAGTGCCTTTCACATAGGGAGACCGTGATCATCGGCATTGAAAAGCTGAGTTCAAATCCTCCCTCCTCTCCTTACTAGCTGTATGGCTTTCAGAAAGTTGCCCAAGATCTCTGAGACTCCATTTCCTCGCTTGTAAAATGGGCCGATAATTATTTTACTTCCCAGAGTCACCAGCAAGATGGAACGAGAAACCGTACTAGCTACAAAGTACTTAGGATCATGCCCAGCACATGATAACTGCAAAGACTTGCAATTATCATTTAAAAATATTTTCTAATCAATTATTTGTAGGGTATGGGCTTAGTTACAGCATGGTGCTGGCGCTGGTGATGATGTGTGGAAAAAATAAAAATGTATTTTCCATGCAGTAACTATATTTGGCAACAAGTCTCTCCAATTCTCTTGTAATAAAAGGATTTTGTTTTGCTCAGAGGCCCTTTGAGTCTCTAATAATGCTTATATATAGTGCCATTTGTTCCAGAATCTTGGAGCAGCCCTGAAATCAAAACATGACAAGAGTTGGACATTTGCAAAAATAAAAGCAACGATTTGCTTTTGTTTTTGAAAACGCTCTCTTTCCCTGCCCAGTTTGCAGCTTGGCAGCGGGCTGTGGACCTGTATGTACTTCGACCTGAGCCCGTGTCCTGCCACTGACATGGCTGCCTGCAGCTCAGCTCAGGAGACGGAGGGGTGAGAGGCAGACCCAGCTATATTCAGAAGGAGAGCACTGAGCAGGGGGAGGACTGGGTCTTTACCAAGGGTCCACTATGGGCTAACACTGTTACATATACTATCTCATGTAATCCCAACAGCCACTCACATTTACAGATGAGGAGCGGGGCTCAGGAAGGTTAGCAACTCACACAAGGTCACACAGCAATTAAATGGCAGGGGGAAGTTCCTGGTTCAGGTCTTTCTCATTTACAAGATCCACATCCCCTCACATCGCCATCCTGGGTCAGTCTTTCTCTAAAGATGTTTGTCTTCACTTTCAAAACATGTGAAGCAGGAGAAAGGAAGCGATGTTTGGGAGCGTGGGAATTCAGGAATGCCATATCCAGTGCACGGTACAGGAAATACAACGAGGAAGTGAGATAATCCGGAGAAAATTTCTAAGGAAGCAAGCACCAAGTGACCCTAGGGTTTCATCAAATCTAAGTCTTCATCAAGTATAAAAAGCCACCCCCCCCATTTTTGGTACTGGGGATCGAACTCCAGACCTCGCACTTGTGAGGCAGGGGTGGTGCCGCTGAGCTAAATCCCCGACCCCAAAGGTCCATTATTTTATATGCTGCTGCTGAAGAACCAATAAGTCCACTCCGAGTACAGCAGGGATGGATTGTGAGACATGTCCTCATTTCAGAGAGATTAGCATATGAAAAGCTTGCATCTTAGTATCGATGAGAGGTTGCATTTATCTAGGCCAACTTCTCCCCTGTATCAGCCAAAGTTTAGCACAGGACATAGAAACCACTCTAGGTACTTTAAGCACAAAGGGCTTTAATACAGGGAATTGAATTCCTATAAAATCACTGAAGGGCTGGGCCAGCAGGCACTGACTTGAACACTGCAAAACTGCATAAAGTCCATGTGTCTCCAGTTAGCCCTGACCTCCTGACATTTTCCAACATCAGCAGCTGTGATGGACATCCAGCTGGATGTGAGGCAGACAGCTCTCCTGGTTAATAGCAGCATAATCTTGAGCAGATCAGTTCATGGCTCTGGGGGTTGGCCACTTTATTTGGACACTGGGGTCAAATGACCTGCCTCATGAGGTTAAATGAGTTAGTTTACCTGGAAGGTAAGAGTTTCTCACAAAAATGTTCATTACCAGAATTTGTGGATGCTTGGCTCTTTCACACATTATACATGTGTTGAGGGCACTGTGCCTGGCACGTGGTAGATGCTCGAAAGTGAAGGAACTGGGGGAATACAAACCAGGTGACCCCAGATCTCACTGTGCTCCTCCCTCCTTGCTCCTTCCCCTCCTCCCAGGAGGTGATACTCCTCTGGGCTGCTTATAATTAGGAAAGACACCAGACTGGCTTTGTTCCAAGTAGATTAAAAGCCTTCTCAGACCGTACCCCATTTGCCACCCAACAGGCTGGGGAGGCAAATTGTTGGTTGGTCCAAGATGACCACTCCCACTCCACAGATGAAATCACTGAGGACCAGGCCTGGAACTGACTCATAGGTGGAGCCAGTGCCTGCTGGGCAGCTGGGTTGCTGCCTAATGACTATGTTGACTGTTTGGACTTCACAGATTGAGTTTCTGCCATGGGGGAGACAACACCAACCCCCTCCCTCTTTCCCAAAGTGCCTCTGGCTGTGTTTATATCCCCACACCTTTGTACCAAGGCTACCAGGGCCACAGGGACTCCCACAGATGCCTGCCCGTGTGGCAGGTCAATGCAGATTGCACTATAGACTCCTAGTTGGTCTTGGTCTGCTAGACAGCTGCAAATTTTTTATGTACAATGCCTAACCCTTTTATGAGTCATTTTGTCGAATCCATGATGGCCCCTTAACCAGGATCCTGCTTGCCAGGATTCCCGGCAGCATTTTGTGTAAGTCTCTAGCACTGAGCTAAAATGATCTCTTTCTAAGACTTGCCCTCATGTACGAAGGCTGTGTATAAAGGACAGTGAAAGAAGTAGAAACAGGGAATGTGGAATCAGTTAAATTCTTTGAGATGTTTTTGTCCTTCTAAGAATTGGGCAGATAATGTGTGTTACACCTTGTGTCTAGGTGTCTCCCCAAAGGCTCAGGTGGTCAGAGGTGAGGCTTTTTCACAGGTGGCTGGATCTAGATTGTGTGATGCTGGAACTGATTCATGGTGGAATGCAAGGCTCAAGGGCACTAGGATTAAGGGTGTGAGTGCTCCCGCCCTGAGTAGCCTGGCTAAGATAAAAAGGGCAGAGAGATACTGTTAAGGTCCTTTGCTTGCTTGCTTGTTTTTGCTATCTTCTGCTTGCTATGAATTTCTCCTCTTCAGTGCTTCTCTGCCAAGCCACCCTGCCTCAGAGCCTGCTGACTATGGACTGAAACCTCCACAAACTGTGAGCTAAATAAACCTTTCCCCCTTTAACTTTGGCTGTTGGGTATTTTGTCTCAGCAACGAGAGCAAAGTAACTAAGACAATGTATGTGAAAAATCACAGTACCTAACAGCTAATAAGGCCTTAAGTATTAGTTACACCAGACTCCCCAGAGGTTTCTTTATCCCTGACTCACCATAAATACATGTGTTTGGACTATGTAGGTTCTTACGTGTGTGAATCTATGGCAGGGTTATATTTATGACCCTCTGCTCCCTAGTTCCATTCTTAATTTAAAAAACCCAGCAGCAGCAAATCCTGACTGGTCAACCTTCTATCCTAATTTTGGTACCAAATTACCAACTCATAAAAATTTGTTAAGGGTCACCTGTACCCTAGGTTTGTATTTCTACCTCCAGCATTTCAGAGTTGCTGTCTCTGTGGCAGCAGCTTGCACTGGTGTCCTGCCATGCTTCACATGGGTAGGACATCTCAGCATGTGTGGGTGGTGTTGGAGGTGTTGGCAACTGCCTTGGAACATAGCTGCATGAAAGTAGCGCTTAACAGTAAGGCATCCGACTGAGGGTGCCAGAGCCACGAATTACAGAATCAATACATTCTATTCTCACCTTGGAACACTCCGTGCACTGGTGCTGATTTAATTGTGCTTTCAGGTCAGCTAATTGTCACCCAGACTGGAAGCAGGGACCTTTCTTCTGCAGGTCTGTGGTGAGGTTAGGGGACCATGATCACACTGTAACAGATAAATCCTATTCCAAGTCTTCTTAGCACAGGGACATGCGTGTGTGTGTGTGTGTGTGTGTGTGTGTGTGTGTGTGTGTGTGTGTATGTCTTTCACTCAATAGATTCTAGCCACAGAATCTTGTTGGGGGATTGCACATCATGAGATGTGTGAATCTTGAAACCCCTTTACTGACAAATATTCATCGAGTGCTCACCTTGTGCATGTGTTGCCATCGGGGTCTCAACAGAAAGCAGATGACACATTTGGAATAGGATAATTTGAGCAGGGTTTATTTGCAGTGAGACTGTTGGCAACTGTGTGGGGGTGGGGGGCAGTAACTTGGGGCTTAGCAGCAGTCACGGTGCTATCACCTCTAGACCGGAAGCACAAAGGAGGAGCTGCTGTTACTGCAGACTGGAGGGAGACCAGAGAACACGGACCTTCAGCCAGGAGACCTATCTAACTGGAAGTGACCTTGCCAGGAAGGAACCAGGGGTAGCATCTATCTACCTTAACCGTCCTTTCTCTTTCCTCTGTGGCCTTCCCCACTGGCCACACCCAACAAAAACCAGGAAGCAGAGAGACCCTGGAGTAGTTTACAGAGGCAGCTTACAGGGGCAGAGGGCAGGCTAGGGAAGAATCAGGACCGGCGAGGGTACCCAGAGTGGCAAATTTCAGACATCAGGTACATTCCTGCAGCGTCCAATGAACAGATGATTCCAGGTGGGGGACCAATATTTACACAATTTTGGGGATCCACTTTAAGAAAATCATGTAGAGATATCTTACCTCGGCAAATAAAAAAACCCCAGAAGTTATATGAACACACTGTTAAGGTCCTTCCCAGGACTTTGGAAGGCACCAGTGCAAGTCAAGCCTTGAAACTAGTGCTTCATTGGTCTCATTGTAAATCCCCCTCTGCCTGTGGCTTTGTGGCTTTGACCTGGAACGAGATCTCAGTCCACAATAAGCTCTCAGACTCATGGGTGATGGGGACTTAGACAAATGATTATAGAAACAAAGCAAACAGGTATAAGAGAATTACAGCTGCAATAGTACAGAGGGTTAGGTAGACATCGAAACAGTAGGATTGAAAAGTAGTTGAAAAGTAGGATTTAGACACTTGGCAACGGGTGGGCAGAATAATACTGATACTATCTTCTATTTATTGAGCACCAAGTAAGTGCAAAGCATTGCCTACAAGATTGTCATTTAATCCTGACAGAAACAGGAAACTGAGGCAAATAGAGATTAAATGACTTCCCCTAAGTTGAAAAATCTCAAGTGGTAGAGCTACGACTTGAACTGCAGACTGGGTATCCCAGAGCCGGGCTAGTCTACTGACTCACGCCACAGCGTGAAAGCCCTTCAGGGTGGCGGGCAGGAGGGTGAAAAAATGCAAATCCGAGCACTCAGCCAATGGGAATACAATTTTTCTTTTATAGCCAGTCCTTTGTCAGCACGCTTAACAAACTACGCTCTTTTGAACACTGGCAATATTTCCCGGTTCCTAGGGCATTGAAGGGTACAGTGGGAGGTCAGAGGCTTGTAAACCACAATTCCCAGAAGCCCTCGGGCCAGAGGGAGTGTAGGACCTACTTTGTCGCTAAAGGACTCCAATTCCCAGCGTGCAGCGCGCGTGTGGACCTCAACTCCCAGCATGCCTGGGCAGGCGGCAGGAAGGACCGACTCGCCCCGCCGCCTTTCCTTGCCCCGCCTCCTTCGTCGCTCAGAGCCAATGGGAAGGCTCCATACTGCAGGGTGTGGAGGGGCCGGCGGCGCCGCCGAGTTGCGAGTCGGCGATAGCGGCGGGAAGTTCGTACTGGGCAGAAGGCGACGGCTCTGCGGCTCCGGGTAGGGAGCCGTGGGCTGCGCGGACCGAGAGCTCGCGCGCGCACCGAGTCGGGGCGCGGGAGCGGTTGGCCAGGCGGGGCCGGCGCGGGCCTCGGGGCATTCGCTCCCTCCTGGCCTCGTCCGGGCGCCGCCGGTCCTCCCCGGTCAGCCCGCTGCTGTCCTTGCCGGTCTGCGGCCTCAGAACCCGGCCGTGCTTGCAGCCCGTAACCCGCTGGACGGACGAGGTCACGGGGCCCCCATTCAGCTGAGAACCCTGAGCCGACGCCCAGGCGCCCACGGGCGCAGTTTGAAAGGCTTTCTTTCCAGGACAGGCGGTGGTGAGCCGGAGTGATGGGGTGAGGTTTTTCGGCCCAGCATCCGAGGAGGGGACTTGGACTGAGGCCCTGGAGGGAAGAGGGGACCCGGCCCCCGAGGGCCACTGCCCTGGCCTCGTGAGCTGCTACCCGGGGCGCGGTGCAGGGCGGGGAGTTTTTACGAGCGACTTCGTGTCCCTCTCGACGCTTCCTCCTCTGATCTTTCCCTCCAGCTGGCAGGGTGGCACTCTTTACTGATGCAATAATGTTCAAAGGCGAAACATCGGTTTTCCTACTGCCAGCACTCTTAGGTGGGTTAGTTAAGAGAAACAGCACCAGAGTTATTGAGAGAGGAGGCAGAAACTAACGTCTTTTTTTTCAAAGTTACCATTTCTGTTTTTCTTTGTATAGGTTCTTCCTTTGCCTCCCCCACCTCCCTTTCTTGGAACTATGTCAGTCTTGCTGTTGAGAAGGTGGTGGTTAAATTTGGGGAGCTGTTGAAGAACTTCATTAGTTATGTTTATTTATATATTTTATTACTGGAATTGCCCCTCGGTTGAGTTGAATTCAGTAGAGTAAAAAAAACGATGTAGGGCAGCATTTATTTTTAAGAGTTCAGAATGAAGACACCTGACTTTTTGTGACATGCTGAACGTAACAAGTTTGGGGAAAAATTTAATGTACAATATTAAAGCAATTTTACAAGGAGGCAAGGGTTCTTTATCTGGTCATTTTATGCATGTTACATTTACGCTGTTCAAAATGGCATAGTAATTAGAATTAAATTTCTGGGTAGATAAGATCATGTTCATATGCTTGCCTATAGAAGGGAATGTAACTTAAGTACTCTAGTCACTTAATAATAGCTTTCTATGTTGGTGCTGTCACAGATGCTGTTCTTTGCATCGTCAGCGTTTGCTGATCAGATTGTGTTAATGCAGTAACACAGGTTGAATTTAATACCAATAAACTTGTTTGAGGTGTCACTGTCATCTTAGTACAGTACTAGTATCTAGTACAAGTGACAGTTTAAAGTGTAATGGCTTCTTGTTAGGCTCAGTGCTGCAGAAATTAGGAGGGAATATTTGTTAAACAAATGAGGTAATGGAGTAATGTGTTAAGCAAAGAACCTGGCATGTAGTAAGTTAGTAAGTGCCCAGGAAATGGTTATATGGAAAGCTTATGCTAAGTTTTATTCCAGCATGCAAGTGTGTATTTTAAAAATAACACCAGTGCATTCAAAATATTGACGACCCTAAAATTAAATTTCTTAAAGGCAGTAGGCCAGCTTTTTAAAAAAAGTTTGAGCACTAATGTGAAATAATAATAAATAAGTGAATGTCCCAGATCCCTAGAAAAGAAAAAAAATTTTAATTTTGACCATGTATTTTTTTTTCGTAAAGGCATCCCTAATAAGATATACTGTGAATAGGGTTTTCACTTGGAAAATAAAACTTTAAAATTATGTTTGATTTGCAAAATAAAACTAATTTGCAAATGGAGCAGAGCTTTGAGATTTACCTGACGTCAAATGAAGGAGGATGACTCCGGAATTCATACAAATGTGCAAATGCTCTTATCTCCACATATCAGCCAGGGAACCTAATGGGAATTAAATGCTGCCACTTTGTATGAGTGAGTGAGGCTTTCGGGAAAATTGGTCTTGATGGGTTCTGAGAATGGATGGGTCACTGAATAGGACTGGAGAATATTTTTCAGATTGGTAGGATATTTTACATGCCAGGGTTATTTTTCAGAGTGAGAAGAAATGGACTCATTTATTTACCAGAGATCATATGCCTGTTTGCCAGGAATTGTGCTGGGTGCTAAGTCTGTTCTTGCTATCATACTGCTTTGTTGAAGCCAGTTTTCTTTGTTTGACATTAATAAGGAATATTCTTCTGTCAGTTATCTAGCACCTAGCGTACAAGGAGTCCATCAGTGTATAAGGCACATTTGCAGAACTGCACTGTTGATGAAATGTAGAAACTACAGAGCTTTTAATAGGAATGCAACATTCATTTAGAGAGATTGTAGAATCCTGACAAAGCATTTAGCTAGGTGGTGTAACGGAGTTGTATTTGTACTCCAGGGTGTTTGGTCCTTTTGCCCAAGGTTTTGTGAGTATGTTCCCACTTAAAGATGTGAAGAGGGCCCTGCCATTCGATTCTTTTACCCCTGGACTCTCAAATGATATTTAAGCACCCCACAGTGTGAGGTTGCTGTTGTGAAGTCATTTCATGCCCTTTGCCAATTATTCTTGCTTCAGTTTTCCCAATGTTGCCTTAAATCTTTGCACTCCAACTCCTGCATTGTCTTGTTCTGTGTGACATACAGGCAACACTCTGAAAAAGAAAAGCCCTGGAAAGTCTAGAGAGGTAGGAGCTGTGCTCCCTCCATAGTAGGTGTTAGGTTTTTAATATTCATCATTAAATACTAATAAACTTTTACTGCTGTTCAGGAAATTTATTAAGAATTTTATTAGCTGCAACATCTTTGTTGACTAGAGAAAATTCACTTTGTGAATCATTTATTTAGTATTCAGGTAATGGTCATGCCCCACTCATTGGCATGCTCAGAGAAATGAGAACGACATTGTGAGGCAGTGTGTGAGCATCATAGAGTGCACACCACTGACTGCTGCCACATCACTAGGTGATAAACATCTTACAGAATCTTACAGCATCACATGTCTGCAGTCTTCTGTGCGGTCCGTTGTTAGCCCACACCTGGCAGTTAGCTGATGCATCAAAGACTGTAACTGTCTTTGGATTTTGATGGGTGTTTGCAGTGACTCATGTCTTCTTGGATCTCTGGCCCCAAGGATGGCTACAGGACTCTAGAATTTGAAAACTAAGATAGACACTTTTACACACTGGCAGGTATGTATGTGAATACTAAACATTCACATACTAACATGTTTTCAGTTGCCATATACAGTAAGTGAGAAGATATCTTAGATGGAGATCATATAGGTAAATCACAGAGTAATTAGCTTGACATTTGAGAATTGTCTCATATTTTTAAAGTAAATATATTTATATTGGAAGGAAATAATGTATTTTTTTCCCCTTTTTTCTTTTTTTAACATAGGGTCTCACTTTGCAGTTTAGGCTGACCTTGAACTGACTAGGTGGCTCAGAGTGGTCTCCTGCCTCAGACCCCTAAGTGCTGGAATTACAGGTGTGCCCCGCTATGCCTGGCTTAGAAATACGGATCTTATATAGCTCAAAGTCAGCAACAAGATTTGCACAAGAGACAGACAGACCTGGAAAGTCACTAGCAATGAGGGCAGCACCATCCTGTTCTTTTTGGGGCTTCCTGATTTCTTTCTGTGCATTAATTTTCTCTTTGTTGACTATTTGCACGTGAACAGACAATACCCCCGCTCTAGACTTAGTCCCTTGTAACAGCCCAAAAGAGACTGTATTGTGTAATTGTCAGTTTTAACAGAACCCATGAGGTTACAAACCTTATGCCGAGATGACTATAGCTGTAACTCTGGTTGTTTTTCTCAAATTGTTTTACCAAGTAAAACATATCTTTTGATGATGCTGTATATTGAGACAGTGTGATTACATTTCATAATACTAAGCAATAGAAAATAGACTATCTGGAAGAAGAGAAACTTTTACTATGTCTTTTTGCAATTAGCTCTATGTCAACAGTTAATATACAGATTATATATAATTACACATTTTTGTTAGAAGTAATCTGTTCAGGTTATAGTGTTTAAGGGACTTAATCTTATATTTTCAGGCTTACAGAAAATATTTTAAAAGTCGTGACAAGTTTATAGTCAGCTGTTTTTGATGGGAATTTCAGATGTACAGGGTAGCTACTCTGGAAATTAGTTTGGCAGTTTTGTAAAAAGTTAAACGTGTGCGCAGCGTGTGACCTATCCTTTGTCCTCCTGGCAGTTTATCCCAGAGAAATAAAAACTGCCACATGTATGAAGGTGCTTTACTTTTAATAGCACAAACCGAAAACAGCACATACATCCTTCAGTGAGTGAATAGTTAAAAAAGATGTTGCCCACCCAAGGGAATACCACTCAGCAACAAAAAGGAATAATCTGTTGGTAGATGCAGCCATTTGGGTGGAGCTTATGGGCTTTGTATTAAGTTGAAAAAAAAAAGCCAGTTTCAAAAGTTTGTATGATTCTGTAACCAAATGTAGTGGGTTTGCCTCTTGAATGCAGAGCCAGTTAAGCACAACTAGCCAATAAAGAAGTGCTCTCCACTTCTTTATTATTTGGAGTTAATTATTTGGAGCAAGTAAGGAGAACACAAGTTAATTGTAAAGCAGTGCTCTCCATGAATAAAGAAAGCAAGGGGCTTTTATTAGGAGAACATAATATGTGTTCATCTAGTGAAGACTCATCTCCTGGAGAGGTGGGCACCTTCCCGAGCCTGCTCAATTAATTGGAGGTGGTAATCACCTGGAGACCGGGCCCCTGGGTGGAGTATGTACTATTATTACTACTAGCAAAGTTTAGGTCTTCTAAGAAGAATGAGTCAGAGTGACCTAGTGACTTTGCCTGGTTTCTTCTCATTTTCTCCCTAGAGTCTTAGCTGAAACAAAAACAACTTTGAAGGTGCACTTCCAGGAGTTCGCCTTGTTCCTGTAGGTATAGAACCTTGTCCATAAAAGTGTCTGCGTTGCCGGGTCGCTGACAGCTCCACTCACGTAGTGTTGCCAGATTGTACCTGTGATTGCTCCTCAGGGTTGAATTCTAGGGATCCTAGGACAGTTCCTTGTCCTGATTTTGGTTACATGAATGTGTGGATAGAATAAGATGTTATAGGATTGCACAGACACAAAAGTCTAAAAACTGAAATTTGAGTAAGTTTCATTACTAATACTGGACTGTCAGTGTCACTTCCCAAGTTTTAATAATTGTAATTTGTCCATTATCTGGCTTTTCCACATTCTATTTAACCATTTACCTATTGAAGGGCATGTGGGCTATTTCTAATTTTGGGTGATTAAAAACAAAGCTACTATGAGCTTTCATGTACAGGTTTTTGTGTCAGTGTATG